AAGCAAACTTTTCGCTGTTGAGGCTAGAGAGGTGAGCAGATTAAGCATAATTCCTCTTTTGGACTTCTCTGTTGACGTCCACCCCTTGGCGCTCATAATAATATGACCTTATGCAGTTGCGAGCGCCGTAAAAACCTCTACTAAAACTGTTGCAGGCGGCCAGGGGAGAGAAGTGGTGCTGCTGGGCGACAAAGAAGTAGACTACGACAAAAACTTCCGGCTCTACCTCAACACCAAAATCGCCAACCCAAAGCTGGGCCCGGAAGTGTTCGGGAAAGCCATGGTGATCAACTACACCGTCACTCTCACGGTACTCTCTTTGCTTTGACTGGGTTTTTTAAAACTTCGTTTGCTAAAGTCCTTCTAACCCCCTGGGGCGGTGCCACTGACTGAAGTGTCTTTAGACCATTCTCAAAGGAGGGACATTAACATCTCGAGATCTTATGCACAGTAGAATGGTAATTGTAAATGGGCTGATTCACTAATGTTATGCTCATGACTGTGCCTGACCTGCAATACGGAACTGCTGTTTTTTCTTGCCTAATCCTTAGTATCGTCATTTTCCCTCTACTTCTTTAGTATGTTTCTCACACTCTTGTGACCCACTATTTCCAGGGTGCCTTGATAGTCGAAGCAGACTTTGTGCTGTTGAAGCTAGAGAGGTGAGCAAAGTATGTCTGATTCCCTGTAAGGACTTCTCTGTTGACACCCACCCCTTGGCGCTCATATGACCTTATGGAGTTGCAAGTGCATAAAACCTCTACTAAAACAAAAGCAAAGTCCTTCTAAGTGGCGTCGGTAGCCTCGTCATCATGAGGTTGCGGGTTTGGGGGTTTGAGCCTTAGCTCGGTCCGACGTTGTGTCCTTGAGAAAGGCACTTTACACGAATGTCCCACTTGGCTCTTTCCTTTCGGAGATGGACGTTAAACCCGGAGGTCCGGCCTGTTAAATAACCAAACAGTGTTGATAGGAGCGCTAAACCTGTACCATTTCACTAATTTCAAAGTCCTTCTAAACGTGAATAGGTAGCTTGGTTGTGATGTTAATGAAGCATTTATTAATTGTGAGGTGTGCTGACAAAATGAGTTACTTTCACAAAAATGGAGATATTTGCCAAAAACCGACACAAGGGTCACATTTGGAGATTTTCTATTGATGCCATATTCTTTAACTATAACCTTTCTTTTATCATGTCTTACTCATAAGCGCTCATATGACCTTAGCAGTTGCGAGCGCCGTAAAACCTTATACTATACTACTATACTACTTACTCATAAATTGTACAAATTCACCATTAAGCGTGACGTATCTATTTTCTTAAAGCTTGAAGTAACTCATTTTGTCAGAACGATTCACAAATGTCCGTTGGGGCGTTCCTGCTCTTGAGTAGTTTTACACGTTTTCCGGGTTGTCTAGCCCGGTCCCTGCGGGAGATGGGTATTAAGGGGAGGGGGGGGGGGGGGCTACACCCCCAAAGTCAAAATTCGGCTCCAAATTATTGATTTTGAGTCGTAGGCATTTTTAGCTTCCTCGGCCTCTCCTACAACTATTTCATAACATAAGAACCCCAAAAACCGTATTTTTTCCCGTACTAGGCATGTTTGTAACCGCCATTTCCTCATAAAGGCAGTACTTTATTTTTCTTTATCGGCCGTTTTCTCAAAACGCGACTTTTCTCTACACTTTTTAAAATAACTCCACCATTTTGCATCCAATCTTCATGACATTTTCTCAGAATGAAGAGAAGATGTAATATTAAAAATTTGTCTGTTGAATTTTTGATATATGGAATAGTATTTTGTTGGTGGTGTCTGGAGTGTGGATTTTTACGGGTTTTTTGAAAACTTGAATGCTACCTCAGGAAAAATTCATTAAAAATTTTCTAATTCGTTTAGGAAAACAACGACAGACAAATTTATAGATCTAATGTTTGTGAACACGCATGCAAAACAAAGTTCAATTTCCATGAGCGTTAAATGTGGTATACATTACGTAAGACATGACAACAAAATCCAATATGGCCGCCGTATCCATGGAAACGAAATTTTTTCACAAATTTGATTGCGGATTTAAAGACTCCTTACTATGCTTGTTATATGTGTGAAATGTGGTAAAATTCGGTCTAGTAATAAGCGAGATAGCCTTCAGGTGTAAACCCCCCCCCCCCCCTTAAAAATTCATAGGTTCTGCCTCTTAAACCACCTTACAATGTTGAAATGTCCCTGAAAAGCCTGGATTGATCTTCCCTGTCTACTATAATCTGAATTCTGTTTTTTTCGTTTATTCATTTTTCTGTTCCCGTGTTGCCAGGGTCTGGAGGACCAGCTGCTCAGTGTGATCGTGGGCTACGAGAAGAAGGAGCTGGAGGAGCAGCGTCAGAGTCTTATACAAGAAACCAGGTCAGTTGTCTTATTGTGGTTTTTCACAAATATGTCACCGGGGGTTTGGGCGGCCCCACATGTACGGGTGACTGGAGAGCACCACATCACAGCTGACAACAAGATTTGTGAGGCAGCGTGGTGGAATCAGTCTCTCGTCTATTTTTGGGCATGTAACGTTATTGGCATCATCTTAAAGCTTGTTCATTTGTCTTTATTTCGGTGAAAAAGTATCCATTTATCTTGGACACAAGTCGAGATATTTGCGAATGAAGGAGGTGGGGGTCACCTGTTTTCAGAGGTAAGATTAGTGAGAAAATGGCCACCAAAGATTAGTTATTTCCTTAGCTCAAGAGTCCGTGGTAACTGAACATTTACGTATTTTGTGCCTTTAATCAACGTTTTTCAGAAAATGCAATACAGAAATGAGTTCTTTAATGGGCATGAAAGGTGTTGAGGCAAAAAACTAAAATTTGTAAAACATTCACAAACCTATGGAAAAATGCAAGTTTCTTCATTTTGATTATTTTGACGAGAGCCTGATTCCACCACGCTGCCTCACATAAGTCACTGGGGGGTTGGGCGGCCCCACATGTACCGGTGTCTGGAGAGAGCACCACATCACAGCTGACGACAAGATTTCTCCCAAACCCACAGTATACGAGCCCACCACACCAAATCTACTATAATTACTTCCATTTGCTTTCAGTCTGCTATTCTTGTCTGTCTGTCCGTCTTGCTCGTTTTCAGCTCTAAATTAGCCGTTATAATTCTTTGTAATTTTCTTTCCTCAGTCAGACAAACGACTCTCGGACAATATTTCTGACTCGAAAGGACAAAAATGTGCTAAGTAACGAAAGCTCTAAATAATAAAAGACTTAAATTATGTTTGTTGGTGGTTGGCGGGTGCTCTGGTGTGGTCTGCTTCTTCTTTCCTATCAAACATCGATAGTCCTTATCTCTCCTCCTTCTTTTTTGTGTATGTTACTCTCTTGTAACACTTCTACTCTTTGGCACTTATATGACCTTATTATATTGCAAGTGCCATAAAACTCTTACAAAAACAGCACTAAAACAAAACTTTGATTAAATTCCTCTACCCACGGCGGGTGATTAAAATTTGCTCCTTCTTTCCTAGGAAACATCTTTCGTTCTAATCACTCCTTTTTTGTGTTGTTACTCTCTTGTAACACATCTATTCTTCTGCACTTATATGACTTTATTGTTTTTCAAGTGCTCGAAAACTCTTACTAAAACAATACTAAAACAAAACTTTGCTTAAATTCCTCTACCCACGTTATGCACGTGCCCTCCCGCCCCCCTCCCCTGTGGACTGGATGAACACTATTGAGCATTCTCTTGTAACACCTCTAATCTTGGGCACTTATATTACCTTATTGTGTTGTAAGAGCCGTAAAGCTCTAACTTATTGAAACAACACCAAAACTTTGCTTAAATTCCTCTATCCACGTCGTGCGCTCTGGTTCTTCTTTCCTATCAAACGTCTATCGTCATTGTCTCTCCTCCTTTTTTGTGTTTGTTACTTTCTTGTAACACCTCTAATCTTCGACATTTATATATGACCTTATTTTATCGCAAGAGCCGTTAAACTCTTACTAAAACAAAATTAAACAAAATCGTGCTTGAATTTCTCTACCCACGCCAAGGCCGTGGACTGAATGAACACCACTGGGCGCTCTCTTTCAACACCTCAAATCGTTGGCACTTGTATGACCTTATTGTTTTGCAAGTGCCTTAAAACTCTAACTTATTACAACAGTACAAAAACAAAACTTTGCTTAAATTCCTTTGCCCGCGCCATGCCAAAACCCCTGTACCCCCTCTCACCTCTCACCCCCCCCCCTCTCATGGACTGGATGACCCCCACCACTGAGCAGCGCCAACAAGAAGCTCCTGTACGAGCTAGAGGACTCCCTGCTGCGCGAGCTGGCCCAGTCTAAGGGCAACATGCTGGACAATGTGGACCTGGTGGAGACGCTCGAGTCCACCAAGACGAAGGCCAGCGAGGTCAGTGACCTTACCAGCATCTATAGATGGTAGTGCTGGGAGGCTAGGTTTCCGATTATTGAAAGCTAAGAATCGTAGGAATCGACTCCGAACCCAATTACTTACTTTCTAATAAAGTGATTTCTTCCGGTAGTCATCTGGTTGGCTCTGAACATCTTCAGGATTTTGGGTAACCTTGATTTTGGAACACTACGAGGCACCCACTTTTATTTTTCCAAAACAATTTCTTTTTTTTAAAGTAGATTATTTTTATGATTGAATGAACTGGTAACCGTTGGTTTACGTAAAAAGGAGTCGGAACTTTTCTTCCGTAGCATTAATCGTGGGGATCGGTTCTGGAATCGAGTCTTCGCCCAGCTCTAAATTAGATGGCAGCAAGACTACAAAGCTTTCACGAAAGCATCTTATGAAAAATCACAGACCTATTATGTTGCGCGAAGGCGACATGTGAATCGTCCTCCGTCCCCACATCCCTTTCCTCTTCCTTGGCCTTTTTTTAAGAGTACCAAGGGGCTTGACTGATGTAAAGATTAGCTTTGCTGTGTCTTTTTCTTTCACTGTTGAACAGAGCTGGCAACTTTTGAAACAGAAAGTGAGGCTATGAAAAGACAGATGGATATAATTTGACCACATTAGAGAGATCTGAATAGTTGGTCACTTAGCTGACCATATTTTTTAAAATTGATTTCCACGTTCTGGGTAGAATCTTGTTTACAGCGAGTACAAATTCGAAATTCGCTTGAATCTAAGTAATTGGACCCTGCTACTTTTGGCCTTCGTGACCTGTCTTTCCGTGCAAGGATAACAAATAGAAATCATGTTTGTCAATGTGGGTTCAAGTGGTTGTTACCCAACTGACTTACCTTATGCTTCAACGTGGACAGCCAAATAAATCTCCCTCTTTCCCACTTTCCTTTTCTCTTCCTTGGCTTGATTTTCTTTTTCATCCTTTGCCATTTCTTATCCTTTTGAATCGCCGAAATGACGTGTTTCTCTACCTTTGGTACGCACTTTGCACATGAAAAATAAACGTGAGTCAGCGTTGTGAAGTCAGGCGCTTCTCAAAATAATGAAATCAAAGAAACTGGCATTTTCTTTGGTCTCCGTTTGGCATGTTTTATTGAACTTGTGTTTTTTTACACACCATCATTTATGTCCATTTAAAACACAAATTTCTGGGTGGATTTTACTGAAAAATGTTGATTTAATTAAGGCACAAAAATGTAAGCTTGCAGTTTTTAAGGACTCTCAAGTATTGGAATTCGCCAAACTTTGGGGGGCCATTTTCTCACCAATTTACCTCTGAAACCAGGCGACCCCACCTCTTTCAGTTACAAATATCTCGACTTCTATTCACGATAGATGAGTATTTTGTTTTTACAGAAAGCAAGACAATCTAATGAACTGGCCTTTAAATGATACCAATAACTTGACGTGTCCCAAAATTGACCGGTGACTCATTCCACTGTGTCGTGACACAAACATTAATCATTTCCTTTCCAGGTGTCCAGTAAACTAGAGCTGGCCTCCAAAACTGCCGTGGACATCGAGAAAACACGAGACGGATACCGCCCTGCAGCAATGCGAGGCGCCATCTTGTTCTTTGTCCTGGCTGAGATGTCTGTCGTCAACACAATGTACCAGGTCACGAAGGGGCTCTGGGTTTTATTTTTAACTCACTGAACACGGGTATTGTACACGTTTGAATAGGCGTTGTTTTGGGGGTTCTTTAAAAGACGAGGCAAAAAGTCCTTGTTCATACAGATATTTCAATTCTGTTTTCTTCGTCAGAAACATTTAAAGGCAGACAACAATAATAAAAATGATGCATGCCATCAAAAATGCAAACTCATGTTTCTGATGTGTGGATAAAGGTTCGAAATGTGCAACACGTTTTGCTTTGGTGTGCTGCTGATCGGACGTATGTGTCCGCTTTCTTTCTCTCTTTCACTCCCTCTCTGTCTGCCAGTGTCTGTGTATGCATGTGTGTGTGTGTGTGTGTGTGTGTGTGTGTGTGTGTGTGTGTGTGTGTGCGTATGCGCGTTCGTGCGCGTGCATGCGTGCGTCTGTTTTTCTCTCCCTCATCCACAAGTCCGCCACAGTACTTGTATATGTGCTAGCACAATAAACCTAGCAACTCAGAGAATAAACAGTAAACTGTTGTGAACAAAACTAACTTGTGTTTCGCGCGCTCATATGACCTTATGCAGTTGCGAGCGCCGTAAAACCCCGTACTAAACAAACAACAGAGAATAAACAAAGGGTATGTGCTGCCCCTCATAGCACACTATTCACTGACGCAACGTGAGTGCGGGAGGTTGGAGGGCGCCACTGGTAGGTCCTACTTCTTTACTTTCCCCTCTATTGTTTCTGTCTGTCTTACTTTTTCCCAGCACTAAATGACCATTATTGTGTCGATGTGCTTCTCTTTAATAATAATAATAATAATAATAATAATAATAATAATAATAATAATAATAATAATAATAATAATAATAATAATAATAATAATAATAAATAGCATTTATACTGCGCATTTCCATTTTCTAAAAAATGCTCAATGCGCATTACAACGAAAAAGACATCACATCTTAAAAATTAATCGACAAGTGTGTACGTAAAACAACGTATTATGCATATAATATAAATGCATATGTGTAAAATTTTATATGAGAAACATAGTCTCGCAGTGAGGTTGGAAATGTGTTCACTAAAAATATACAATGCAATAAAAATTCACGAACGGTCACACACAATGAAGTTGAAACGTGAGTAACTAGAAACATTCTTTACTCAAACCAAGCAACGTGAGTCTCATGTGCCGACACTGTGTTTCTTCCTTCAGTACTCACTGGAAGCGTTCCTGGACGTGTTCACCTTCTCTCTACGCCGCAGTCTGCCCGACACCGTGCTCCGGAAGCGACTCAACAACATCATGGAAGCGCTCACCATGAACATCTACTACTACGGCTGTACTGGTCAGTAGTAGCCCCCGGTCCTCATCATCATCCTCCTCATCATCATCATCATCATCATCATCATCATCATCATCATCATCATCATCATCATCATCATCATCATCATCATCATCAACATCATCATCATTGTTTTAATAAATGAAAGTTGTAGGGCACTTGCAAAACAAAAAGGTTATATAAGGGGCGAAGACTAGAGGTTACAAGAGAGTGCTCAATGGTGTTTATCCAGTCAAAGGAGGGGGGAGGAACGGGCATGACGTTGGTAGAGGAATTTAAAAGTAAAGTTTAGTTTTAGTATTGTTTCAATAAGTTAGAGTTTAAGGGCACTTGCAAAACAATAAGGTCATATAAGTGCCGAAGATTAAAGGTGTTACAAGAGAGTAACAAACACAAAAAAGAAGGTGGAGAGAGATCAAGGACAATAGATGTTTGATAGGAAAGAAAAAGCAAACCACACGACGTGGCCACCGTCCTCATCATCATCATCATCATCATCATCATCATCATCATCATCATCATCATCATCATCATCATCATCATCATCATCATCGTCCGGTACCTTGCCGACTGGCGTGGGCGATCATGGACCTCCACTTCACTCTGTCTTGCGGTGCAGCAATGGTGTCTGTTGTTCTTGCTGCTCCCAGCCATGTTGTCATCTTGTCCAGTATCTTTTCCCTCTGTCTGCCTCTGCCTCTCTTTCCATCAAACGTACCTGTTGTTAAAATATTCTCCAATGCTTATTTCTGCATTGTGTGTCCGGAGAAATTTGCCTGTCGTTTTTGGTATATTCGTCTTACCGTCCTGATAGTAAAAGTTAAGTTGTTCCCACCTCCGATCCGGACAATGTGGGCTGCCTTGTTAGTGAGACAACTTCCTGGGCGTTCGGCATATTGTGGTAGGGTGGCCAGTTCCTTTCCACGCCGCCTTTACTTCTGTAACTCGTAGTCAGGTACCCATTACTGCTGAGTGGGCTGGAGGGGGCGAAAAAAAATCCGTGTCCGAACCGAGGCTCGAACCTGGACTTTCCGCTTCGGAGACGAGCGCAGTCTTGAGAGTAGGCTGATGATTTTGCGTAGATTTGACGCTCCTCACAACAACGTAAGGTCATGAACCCTTTTTGAGCCATACCGGCCTAAACCGGCCTTCCTGTCTTGTTGCCCTAACGGCTTTTACCGGTTTTCTCGCTGTAGACCCGTACTGGCTCTTCCGGCCTGACACGTCCGCTTTTAATGTAAGCTAAGAAATAAGAACATTCCACTCTAAATTTAGATCCTTAAGTCCCAGATCTTTGTAGGGTAAGTTTCATTGAAATACGTCGCTTATATCAAAATCCAAAACAATTTCTGTGCTACACCCCCTGAACCTCTTAAAAACACTGAAATAATTCGCTTCTGGGAAGCCATCAGCTGGACGCCATTTTTGTTCTGCTGTGCTGACCTGTTGACCTATTTATGATACTAGGAGGGTCAAATGGATGGGACCTAAGACTGTAATGTCCATCTCCGACACGGTCAAGCCAGGGGGGTAGGGAGCTTTAAAACTCTGTTTAACCCTATCCGTACGTCCTGGGGTCATATTTGTACCCCCGGGGTTGTATTCTTCATATTTTAGAATACTTCTAGTGCGAAGATCTCTTTGAAACTTTCAGTATTTCTCAAAAAATCGTTTTGACAGACTGCTATGCAAAGCGAACGGATTGGATTAACCAGTAAATTTCCTCTTGGAAAGTGGTGGTACAGAGTTCCCCACGTAGTATGGATACGATAGGAAAACAGCCTCCTTCTTTCGTTTATTTAAACCCAAGTAACTTCTCTAATCTTTGGTATTTATATGACCTGATTGTGTCGCAAGTGCCATACGACTCACACGAAAAACTTTCTTTTTGTGTCGTCGTTATGATCGTCTTCGTTGTCATCGTCTTCATTATCGTCACTCTTCTCATTTCTGCTGGTCTCTATCCCTTCCTACCCAATGGGTGGTTGGCGGGTGCTGTGGTGTTGTTTGCTTCTTTTTTCATTTCAAACCACTATCATTTTTATCTTTCCTCCTTCTTTTTCATGTTTGTTACTCCCTTGTAACATCTCTAGTCTTCGGCACTTATGTGACCTAATTGTGTTGCAAGTGCCGTAAAACGCTTACTAACTGAAGTTGCCTTTAGGCCATTTCCAAAGGGGGGATATTAACATAATACTGTTATGCACAGTAGAATTGTAAATGGGCTCATTTATCAATGTCATGCTCATACTGTGCCGGAACAACATAGGGGGGGATTTCTGCTTTTTCTTTCCTCATCCCTACTATAGTCATTTTTCCTCTACTTCTTGTGTATATTTGTCATTCTCTCGTGAACTGCTATTTTCGGGGTGCCTTGATAGTAGAAGCAGACTTTGTGCTGTTGAGGATAGAGAGGTGAGCAGAGTAAGCCAGATTCCTCGTTTGGATTTCTCTGTTGACATCCACCCCTTTGCGCTCATATGACCTTATTGCAGTTGCGATCGCCCTAAAACCTTACTAAAACAACTACAGTGAGGTTACTGAACTCACAGAGCTACAAATGAAAGAGAGGGAGAGATCGAGAGAGAGAGAGAGAGAGAGAGAGAGAGAGGGGGGGAG